TGTCCCCACTTCAGAGGAACTAATACAGAAACCTTAATGTGACAGAGGTCAATATGAGAAGGGGATCAGAAACCAGTGAAAAGCTCAATTAGAGATAAATCAACTTGGGTTGTAACACATTTGTACACGAAAGCTAAGCTAGGAATCTTTCTATATAGCTATCCTTAACTCAGCTAGCAAAAACTCTGTGTCTTCCTTATTCTGCTTATGTCATCTCTTCAACAAAATTAGACATAAGGGTAGAACAGGTTCTGCCTGGTAGTGAGAGGGGAAAGAGGAGAGGTTCGGGGAGGAGGGCAGGGGGGCAGGGGGGAGATATGATCCAAACAATGTATGCACGTGTGAGTAAATGAATAATAAATAATAAAAATAAAAAAATAAAAAAGTGAATAATGATTAAAAAATATGTGAAAGGGGCTTTACCAAGAAAATTTTCTATTTAAAACTTTATGATTCTTAATATATTATAAATACACTGTAAGTTAATAAAATAATTATATCAGCTTTCAGCAATTGTTGTATAAGTATTAAGAATGAAGAATACCAAACACAGAAAATGTAAATTTGAAAACAAGATTATACTAATTTTCTATTTATTCTAAGATTTATTAGTTGTGCAACAAAGATCAATACAAGAATTTCAACTTCAAAAACACGGAAAAAAGTGATTAATCGAAACTTAACGTCTTTTATATTAAACAGTTCACAAGCTAGTAAATGTATAACAAATTTTAAAACATAATTTTATCTTGGCAAGCACAATATATGCACTTTTATTTTGGCAAGTAAAAGACCTGAAGTAAGAGTCCTGGTAGGTATAGCCAACAATTTTATTTACTCTACATATTATAATCCATGGAACTTAGGGAGTCTCAGCTCAGTAAACCTATATTAAAATTATGCTAAAATCTAGAGGCTAGGGACTTGGCTCAAGTGGTAGAGTGCCTGCTTAGCAAGCATGAGACCTTCAATTCAAACTCTAGTACTGCCAAAAAATTATTCTCAAATCTGTATGTTTATACATATTTCACATGAAAATGTCAGGAGAAACCAGAAATGAAAACCACAGTCACAGACTTTCACTATTTGGATTCCTGAATGTTTTACGTTCCTAAGACAACACAACTCATATAGTTTTTGTATGGCTCCCACTATCTACATGCTTATGACCCCCAAATCCCTGTCTCTGGCCCAGATCCTTATGCTGAAGGTCAATCCTGTATCTCCAATGCCAAACTGAACATTTGCATGTTAAGTACTGACACATGCCCTAAATTTGTATGTATAAAACTGATCTCATTATCTGTTCGTTTCTTTTTTATGTTATGGGTAGATCACTTACTCTCACAGCTAAGGAGGTCAGCCAGATTTCTTCCTCTACCCTACTCTTTCTTGATGTTTATTCAGTTACAAAATATGGCAGTTCAATTTCCTAAAATCTACTGAATCAAACTTCTTTCACTCAGCTCCAGTCAGGCCTCAATTTTTTTTTATAATTTTTATCTTTTTATTATTCATATGTATATACAATGCTTGGATCATTTCTCCCCCCTGCCCCTACCTCCTCCCTTACCACCCACTCTGTCCCCTCCCTCTCCCCCCCCACCCCCTCGATATCTGGCAGAAACTATTTTGCCCTTATCTCTAATTTTGTTGAAGAGAGAGTATAAGCAATAACAGGAAGGAACAAAGGTTTTTGCAAGTTGAGATAAGGATAGCTATACAGGGAGTTGACTCTCATTAATTTCCTGTGTGTGTGTGTTACCGTCTAGGTTAATTCTTTTTTTTTATTGGTTTATTATTCATATGCGCATACAATGCTTGGGTCATTTCTCCCCAAGGTTAACTCTTTTTGATCTAACATTTTCTCTAGTTCCTGGTCCCCTTCTCCTATTGGCCTCAGTTGCTTTTAAGGTATCTGCTTTAGTTTCTCTGCATTGAGGGCAACAAATCCTAGCTAATTTTTTAGGTGTCTTACCTATCCTCATACCTCCCTTGTGTGCTCTCGCTTTATCATGTGATCAAAGTCCAATCCCCTTGTTGTGTTTGCCCTTCATCTAATGTCTGCATCTGAGGGAGAACATACGATTTTTGGTCTTTTGGGCCAGGCTAACCTCACTCAGAATGATGTTCTCCAATTCCATCCATTTACCAGCGAATGATAACATTTCATTTCGTTCTTCTTCATGGCTGCATAAAATTCCATTATGCATAGATACCACATTTTTTTTGATCCATTCATCAGTAGTGGGGCATCTTGGCTGTTTCCAGAACTTGGCTATTGTGAATAGTGCTGCAATAATCATGGGTGTGCAGATGCCTCTGGAGTAACCTGTGTCACAGTCTTTTGGGTATATCCCCAAGAGTGGTATTGTTGGATCAAATGGTAGATCAATGTTTAGCTTTTTAAGTAGCCTCCAAATTTTTTTCCAGAGTGGTTGTACTAGTTTACATTCCCACCAACAGTGTAAAAGGGTTCCTTTTTCATCAGGCCTCAATTTTTATCTGAATTACTGCAACAGCTTTGTGACTAGCTTCCTTTTCTCACTTTCCTGCATTTCAATCCTTCTTCCACAATGACATCACAGCCACTAAAGAGGAAACCCCTCTGCACACATTTCTTCAATTGTTCAGGTTTCTGTCATTTGTCATCTATTTCCTTTCCAACCTAACCCTTAAATGTCTCCTATACCAAAATGTTTTCTTTTGCACATGATGGTTCTTCTTCCTGGAAAGCCATTTGTTAATTAATTCACTTAACAAACTAGCGATTGTTAGGTATGTACTAGACACTGTGTAGGATTCTGAAGATCTAAAGAGATGACATAATCCTCAGCTTCAATCAAAATCAGTGAACTTGTCACCACACTTCCCTTCTTTCAGTTTCAGATACTAGAAGTTTAAAATCTCCACGGAGACTCCAGATTAACTCCTAACTCTTCCTTTCTAACTTAATTGAGGAAACACATTGTCTCTGGATCTTCCTCAGTATTAATACCCTCTTTTCTTTTTTCTTTTTCCCCCTGTACTAGGGATTGAACTCAGGACAGGGCCTTGTGCTTTCTAGGCAAGCCCTTCATTACTTGAGCCATGACCCAGTCCTTTTGCTTTTAGTTTGTTTTTAGATACTAACTTTGCCCGGGCTGGCTTTGGACTGTGATCCTCCTTCCTCTGCTTCCTGAGTAGCTGGGATTACAGGCATGTACCACCCCAGCCATCTCCCATTCTCCTCTTTAATGTAATTAGGAGTATGATTCCCTGTACAACATGGCACCATGCATACATTTCTGAAACAACACTTTCATATAGTACTATGAGTTGTAGCTTGAATTTTTCAAATCTTCTTGCAATCAAGGGCCTTATTGTGCCCCTAGAGTCTAGAATAATGCTTGATATGTAGGAAATTCCATTCCTAAATGTTTTTTGAAGACCACAATATATATGTATGACCATGGTGAACAACTTTTTTTTGTATGTGGGACTAGAGTTTGAACTCAGGACTTCATTCTTGTTAAGGAGTCACTGGAGAGGAGACATACCTCCAGTCAAATTTTTATATTTATGCTGATTCTTGAAAGCAACAGCAATTTTTATGACAAGAAATTTATACTGAAAGTTTCTATACATACTTATTTGCTATCATATAAGTTATGCATATACTTTTTCTTCACTTAAGGCAAAACTTGTCAATAAAGCTGCATTTTTCTAGCTTTAAGTGAGCATAATTACTAAGAATCTGGAATACACAAAAGAGTACTAAAATAATATAAATTTTAGGAGTTAGGGATATAGCTCAGTGGTGGAGCACTTATGTAGTATGCACAAAGCCCTGGACTTGATCCTCAGCACCACAAAATAATAATAACAATAGAAGTCATACGTATTTGATATTTTCCCTGTATAGTTTTAGACATAACTATATTTTTTCAAAAGCTACATGAAATATGGTTATTTTCTTATTTTTAACCTAACATTATTAATCCTTTAATGTGTCATTCACTACTCTTTAAAAACAATTATAAACATATATATTATATGCTATTATACTCGTGGCTATTCCACAATTTATTTTGCAATTATATCTAGGTAAGTGTCACCATTACAATTAACCTATGATAAAATGTATCACTATTATAAATAATCCTGTGAAAACATTCTCATACATAAAACATTATAAATATCTCTATGGGATAGATTTTAGAATGGAAAATATTAGCTCAGAAGTATAAACTCTGTATATACATAAAACAGCTTTCCAGAAAGTTTTGACACACTCACATTTATTTCTGTTATATTCTATAAGACACTCCTTATCACTAGTTAATCCTTAAAATTTGGCTTCACAGAGATAGAGAATTTATATGCACTTTTTCCTGGCAGTTTGAAGAAGAGTGATCGATAGGTAGTATAAGTAATAAAAATGCCTTCTAGCTATATAGCAACATGGTCACATACCTATTCATATTTAGTTCTCAAAACAACATGATGAAGTAGATTTTAATATCTGTATTAAAGCTAGAAAAACTGAGACTCAGTTAAGTTAACATTCAAACAGCTTGTTTATTAAAGTTCTCTCAGGAATTCTGTTTCAAATCCTTAAGAATTTTGTTGACAGAAAGTAGCAGATAAAGAGTAGCTATTTCATTAGTTTCCTTCTTTCTTTCTAGCTAGTGTACAATTTGACAGACAGCTCTTACTAAAGGGTGCTAATGTATTTCATCTCTATCAGTATCAACCGCCTCATTTGGAAACTAAATTAACTCAAGTAGACTGACAAGCCATAGATTTTTGAGAGGCCTATACGCCCACAAATGGAATCTATTCAGGAGCCTTATTTTTCTTCTTCATTCAGAAGAATATTAGTATATCTGTGTGACATGATTCTTAATGTTTAATGGCTTATCATTTAACACAGTATAACAGTTGGGGGGGTGGGTAGAAGAAGACTATCCAGAAAGGCATATTGATTTTTATTCATATTAAAAATGACAAATTCTTACCTTGACTATTAAACCTTTTGAGTCAACCAACCATATCTTTTTGATAGCTTTCTCCTTTGGTAAACCTTCTTTCTCCATGGCCATTACAATCAGGTGAGCAATCCCTAAAGCAGCCTGAAAAAGAGGTTATAAAGAAAAAAAACAAAGATTTCAAAACTTGTTCCACACTATAGCTTGTCAAGGGTTACATTTCACCTCATTTTGTCTTTGTTAATAAGGATCTGAAAAATGGCTCTGTACTCATTCATTCACACTAGAAGCAAAGTATTTTGTCACACTTGGGTTAAACCAGATAATTTATTCTTCTTAGTACAACAGAACCAGTATTATATGGTTTGCCATTTTGTCATAGATAAGCCAGTGATATCCTTGACTGTCAGTATCTTCAGTCCTATTAACATAATCAAGATTTGCTCCAACAGGAAAATACCAAATTTAAAAGAATGAACTAGTTTATCTTACTCATTTTACCGTATTGCTTACTGTTAGGCTCAAGTTCCTCTATCTGAATTTGAAGAACTAAGCATAGACATGTGGATGGGAACTTGATCAACTGGGCAAAAGAATAAAACTGACAAAAAAAGTTCCCTAGCATATATTTACTCTCTTAATTCAACACAGGAAGTGCTGTGAAATTTATTGCAAAATTAAATAAATCATTTCTTGGTATTTAGTAAATTTTGTGAACATCTGTGAAACTCCAGTATCTTTTCTAGAACAAACAAGTGCAAGTTTTGAATCATCCAACCACAAATACCTCTTTTCTTGCTGACTATCAAGAACTGGCCTGTGCCATTCATCAAATACCTTTGGAAGTTCAAAGAGGATTACTAAAATTAAATATAGCATGTAATATTTCAAAGAACTTAATGGTAAAGTTGATATTTAAGCTTGATTTTTGTATCAATTTTAAAGTGAACTTGGGATTTACATTCTGAATACTTTTACATATTTATACATTGGCATTTAAATTTTAGTTCAAGCAAAACGAAAATACAATGTATACAAATTTCTAGAAATGTAACATATTGCTTTTATAGTCATATTAAATTTGAAAACTTAAAAGTTTCTTAAAGCATTTATACACCCACAAAGTACGTCCCATTTATTACACTCTATAATTCTAGACAGATTTTGACAGTTTTCCTGCAATAAAACTAACATCTTTATTTCTATTTTGGAGTTGAACTATTATCACTGGAATTTCGTTTTCTTCTTTCAAATGATAAAATCGTAGACAATGGTAACAGGAAATAGCATACTTTGGTACTGATACAATAATTTAACTGTTTTAGTTCTTTTGTATGTGAACAGTTATACTATAAGTCTCTAATTCAAAATATTATTTCTTGGCTGGGCATGGTGGCTCAAGTCTATAATCCTACCTACTAGGGAGGTAGAGCTCAGGAGGACTGCACTTTGATGCCAGCGTGGGCAAAAATTCATGAGACGCCATGTCAACCAATGAAAGTAGGGTGTGGTGATGTGTATCTGTCATCCCAGATACATGGGAAGAATAAATAGGAGGATTGTGGTTCAGGATAGTTCTGGCAAAAACATAAGACCCTATTTGAAAAACAACTAAAGTAAATAAGGCTATCAGTGTGGCTCAAGTGGTAGAGCACCAGCCTAGCAAGAGCAAGGCCCTAAGTTCAAACCCAAGTACCACAAAAAAGTCTTAAAAACATATGTTGTTATATATGTGCAGATTAAATTGTAAGCAAAATTAAGAAAATATTTGAACCTGAAAGTGGAGAATACTAAGAGTCAGCATCAGATATACAAGCTTAAATACTTAAAGGCTTTCATATATAATCATACACTGGAAACTTTTTCTTGCATAACATGTTAAATATGCACAATAAAAATCAATGACAACATCTGATAATCTTTCAAATTTAAACCTGTGAAAAATATCTTATACTTCTATACTAACTTCTACAAAAAATATGCCTCCATACTTCAAATCTTCAATAAAGCATTCATTTATAATTATATACTAAAACATAAAAGAGTATGTGAGACCTTGAATAAATGAGTAATTACAACTAATAATGTGTTCATTAGTTTAGGAGAATATAAGGCATTGTACAAGGCAGGTACCTCTCCAGCTCCTTGGAATAGTACTGTTTGATCAGATAGTTTGTTCTTGGTTATTCGAAGAGCTGCAAGGAGACCTGCAACTGCAACAGATGCTGTTCCTGAAACAAGTAATAAATATCCTTGAGTAATCCTCAAATTGATCCTGCCAAATTCATGCCGAAATCATCACACAACAGGTTAACTTGAGCAGAAAAAGAACCTGTTATTGAATGATCCCATGCCTTAATATAAGGTTAAATCTTTAGGCTACTGACATCCATATTTAAAGATAGCAGTTTACTACTATCCTTAAAAACATTCCCAAAAGAAGATCCTTTGTCTTATTTTGATGATGCAGTGATTAATAGCAAGGGATGTGGATCCTTCCGTGGATTCCAGTTCAATCTACATACTAGCTGAAGTAATTTACAGAAATAATTTTGTATACCAATTTCCTCATTCGTAAAAGAATTTTACTATATGAGAAAAGAGTAATTAGTGTTGTTGGTTCTTCCACCTAAATTCATGAGGTTTTGAAATCCACTATTAATCTCTGTCACACAAAGGAGGAACATAGCAAATGCTTGCTTATAATGGTGGTGGTGGTAATGTTTTTGAGGTATTTGAAATTTAATGTTTTAATTTTTCAATTTGAAAAAAATGACAGTTAACAACAATTGAAAACTGATTTTATTGCATTTGTTAAGTGGCTTTCTACCTTTCCTCAGGGAATCCCACAGGTGTGAAATGAAATTAATGCAAACTTACTTAGGATAAAAATTATGCTTTCCTTGTCATTTCTCACAGGCATAGAAACCACGCCAGTTCTAACTATATTACTTTACTGTATAAGCTTTCACAGATCACAGAGCAGTTGTCCTGCTTTGGACATAATTATGCAGCTCAACTTCTTTATGATGCAGTCCTGTAATAAAATTTTGCAGCTTCTTGCAGTGTTTTCCAGCTGGGTCTGCATTTTACTCCTCTAAAGTAACATTCCACCTATAATGTTTCCAAGATCATTCAGCTGAGCAAGGCCTAGCTAAATTTTAAATACCCTTACTTGAATAAAACCCACACCAGAATAGGTTTGACTCATGACACAGGATGAAGCACTATGTATGCTAAATGACCAAAATTATTTAACATTTCAACACTGGTGTACTTGCTCTTTTCAATCTTTTGACTTTTTCATTTCCAATAATTAGGTAGTCACAAGACACAATAAATAGTAACTGTAGGCTTACATATTTCCGTGTCTATTTTATTTAGGTACACAAGTTTGGATTACAAAAGTAAAATGACTGCAACTTTCAATCACCATTGCAATAATTATAAATTGTGATAGATTAAAGAAACACCATTGTATATATGTTATTTAAAATGAAAATCTGTGCAAAAGTATGGCTGACCTACATAGGGAAGACACCATGACAGTGCTAGAATGATGTTTGTCCCCTACACCAAATATATTCACTACAGTTGTTAAACAGATGAAAGAGAACTGAAATTAGAGAGGTATAGAGATCCAGTCACTAAATAAGTAATTACTACTAAATAAGTAATAACTCACAAATAGTGTCTCAAGTTATCTCTATCTAATGTTCTTTGGAAGTAAACTGGCCAAAACTTTTCCATATCAAAACTCAAAATGCTTTAAGTTTATATATTACCCCAAATAAGGCAAAATAAATGTATTCTGTCATTACTAGAAATCAAAACCTTATATTTGAATTTTTATTTCATAACATTTTCTGGTGACATAATGAAACTTCCAATCTTATTTTCATAGAATTATTTAATAAAAATCAGGAAGATAGTTTAATACTACCAAAAACTTAACTTGAACATGATCTCTGTACATGGCCTACTACACCCTAATTTAACTTTCACTGTTGAAAATGAAAGCAAAAAATTGAAATTTTGTAAAAGTGTGAATTTATACAATAAATTATTCCATTAATAGCTTTTGTTTTGAGATTAAAAACCGTAATATTAGTAAACCAAATAGAAGCAGAGCTTATCTTTGAACTACCTGTGTTAAAGAAGGCTTAACACTAATGTAATACTAAACAATTTGCTTAGAATATTTTTTAACATTTTAGAAACTTCTACAGCTTGAGTATCCCTAATCTCAAATTCTAACACGCTCCAAAATCTGAGGCTTTTTGAGCACTAACATGACATCACAAGTAGAAAATGCCATACTTGACGTTATGTGACAAATTATGGCCAAAATGCAGATACATTACAAATATTGTATAAAATTATCTGAAACCTGTGTATAAATGGTATGTATGGAATATAAATTGAATTTTGTGTTCAATTTGGAGCCCATCCTCAAGACATCTCATTATGTAAATACATTTTCCAAAATCCAGAAAAATATGAAATCCAAAATGCTTCTGCTCCCAAACACTTGGATAAGGGTGCTCAACCTGCATTTGTATTTGTGAATAATGTGTCTTTAATATAAATAAAAGTTAACAGTTGTCCTGTGATTTTAATGGTTTTAAATATGTATCATCTTTTATCAAAGAATGACCTCTACTGCTGGGCATGGTGATCTTATGCAAAGGCAGGAGGATAGAGAATGAGACCAGCCTAGGCAACACAGGGAAACCCTGTCTGGAAAAAAAAAAAAAGAATGACCTTTACTAATGACTAATGAAATAATTTGTGAACTCTAATTAGAATTACTACCTGTAACCAGTGAGACCAATATGTAATCAAACAGCTACTATTCTCACATGCTATTAAATAAATAGTTCAGATGAAATACAAGAATTAAAAGTAATGTGGGGAGCCTGGAGAAGATTTACCAAGGCAGAGCTCCAGGCATTTAGTGTATGCACTCAGTACTTGAGCACAGTACAGAAGGATTAATGTGAAAGTTAAGGAACTCAGATGGGAGAAAGTACTCAGCAGGAAAAGCATGTGCAAGACATGGAGGCAGGGATGACTCCCTGTAAAAGTGGGAGAATGAACACATAATTAGTATTCTTCTCCCCAACAAACTCTACTAAAACAACAGGAAACAGATTTTTTTAAAAAATCAGAAGTCTAGAGTGTGAGATACCAGGCATAACTGGGTGCAAAGGTACCATACTGAAAACAAGATTAAATGAAACTTATATACTCAATATGGAAATACTAATCTTCTTTTCCTTAGCTCAAAGAATACTGACAGAAAACTAATACTAGCAGAAAGTAGAAAAAATCTTTTCCATGGAATCTGAGCAGTATAAGAGAAAACATCGAAAGAGACTGACTAGGTGATTTCTCTAAGGGAATGCTTTAAAGGTCTAACATGAATTTCAAACTAAAACCTATACAATTTAAGATTATTGTATATAACTAATATAGCATAATTTTAAGTACATTTTGCTTTAATCAAATACTTTTCATAAAATAATACCTTTAAATAAATCATCTATTTAAAAAAAGAAGAAAAAGTCACTCCAAGGGTCCAGTGTAAAAACATATATTTACATGGTGTGGCTGTAATGGTTACATAATTATTTTCATTGGAAATGGAATGCAGTCTCTGTGCCCACAGTGAGGAAAATATCAAAAATCATCAGGAATTCACTGAGAAGAACACTGGAAGATCAGTTTTAATGCAAAAATAAGAGTTTGATTTTAGGTAGACTGAGAATGAGATAACTTTGAGATATCTAAGAAGAGATGTTAAATAAACAGATGGGTAATATGGCCCTGGAATTCAAAGTCTGGTCTGGAGATATAAATCTGCTAACCAAATGTGGAGAGGTGGAGTATATACCTAAGAAGACATACTAGAAGAAAAAGGAAAGGGCATGGGAAAGCACTAAGTGTTCTGTTATTTAATAGCTAGACAGAAAAGGAAGGATGAACCTGTAAGGGAGGGAGGGAAGGAGAAAGGGAGGAACAAAGGGAGGCAGGGAGAGAGGGAGAGAGAGAGAGAGGGAAAGAGAGAGAGAGGGAGGGAGGGAGGGAGGAAAGGAGAAAGAGAAAGAGGAAAAGACAGAGAGAAATATCAATGAAATCCAACAGAATACAGTATTTTTAAAAAAGAATGAATCAACAGTGGTGATTCAAGTTAAAAATTTAAGAAAGATAAACACTGAAAAACATTTAAGGAAATTTATGTAAATTTATGAATTTAGTGAAATGGAAGCCACCTGTGATCTTATTTCATGTTGCTAGAGTTAATTACAGTCTTATTCCTTGGGACCTCTGTCTACCTGACCATATAAACAGTATCCCCAAGATTCTCATAACAACACACTGGATGTGTGTGTTTGTGTGCGGGGGTGATCTAGAGAGGGTTAAAAAAGGACTTAAATAGAAACACAGGAACCTTAGTTAAATGTGACAACCAGTAGAATGTGGCACATTGTGTATAAAGTTAGCACTTATTGGTGTAAGGCTTAGAAACTGTGACTGAGAAAAAGGTTAGAGAGAATACATACACCTTTATTCTTATTTAATGAACAGTGTATTCTCATAGATTTTCCTCTTTGTTTAGTAATAATCACTGGAGATTTTATAAAATATGAAATTGAGGAATTATGTGTGTAACACAATCAAGTACAATTCCTGGCTTTTAGTAGGTTCTTTAACATATATCTATTGAATTTGAGTCATAAAATTATGAACCAATTTAAGATGTTACTCTTGATCCATACACAGTGAAAATTTCATTACCTTGAATATCATCATTAAATGTGCAATACTTGTTTCGATACTTGTTCAGGAGACGAAATGCATTCACATTGGCAAAATCTTCAAACTGAATAAGGCAATTCATGCCATATCTATGAAACAAAAATATTAAAGTTAAAAGAGGTTCATGAAGTAATATTTTAAAATCAGGCATTAAAATTAGTCCATAGTAAGGGAAAATTTTATTTTCTTTTAAGGTCCTAACCAGATGTTTAGTATAAATGTGTAGTGCAATCTCTTTTTAGCAAATATTTACTGCATGCTTACCACAGAAAAGTCATTGTGTTGGCACTGTGAAATAATACAAAATGACCAAAATTTGGTTCAAAGTATGGTCCCTATTTTCACGGAATTTAAAATTTAGAAGACAGAAAAATCTTTGATTTTAAATTTAATTTTTTCATTTAATTTTTTGATTAAATGAAAAGTAATATGAAACTTATATACATTTATATATACATATACAAACATACATATTCGTAGATACATACACACAGGAATTATTGATGGTCAGCGGAGAAACAACACTTCTAGTTGGGGTCACGAATCAAGTATTCAGTGAACTAAATTTTAATTGATAGCTATGACTTCAAAAGTAAAGATACAGGACTATAAAGCAGAAGAAAAATAACTGAGGTGAAATCTGGGAGAGAAAGAAAACATTCCATTTAAAAAATGGCAAAACCCTAATGGGCTATAATGTAGTGTACACAGAGAGCGCAGCGAAAGATAAGGTCAGGTCTTCATTCTGGTTCTTCCATTCCTCCTAATTCATTTGTTTTAGTTTCATCTCTGCATACAAAAACAGTTGGATTTCAACAGTGTGTTGGCTAACTCCCTTGACACCTTGCTCTTCTTCACTCTGAGTATCTACCTCACTCCACTAAGATAGCAGATAAATTCATGCTGCAGAGTCTTAGCCAGGATCTCAATGAAGTCCTGCAATATTTATTTTCTTCTCTGAATGATTTGTAACACAATCCTCCAAAGTCTTAGACTTAGTCCAACTGGAATGCTAAAAGAAAATACATGGGGCTGTGTAATTTATGAACAACAGAGATTTATTGCTCACAGCTCTGAAGGCTGGAACTCCAAGATCAAGGTGGCAGCAGATTCTGTATCTGGAAAGAGACCTCTCCTCATCAAGTGTCTTCTTGCTGTGTCCTTACATGGGTGTTTATGACAGCCATCTCCACACACACTTAATGATCACTCTGATAAGGGACTAATATCCAGAATCTACAGGGAACTCAAAAAACTCAGCCTCCAAGGAATCAACATCCCAATGAAAAAATGGGTACATGAATTGAATAGGGAATTTTGAAAGGAAGAGGTACAAATGGCCAATAAATACATGAAGAAATGTTCAACTTTCCTGGCTATAAAATAAATGAAAATAAAAGCTACACTAAAATTTCATTTCACCCCAGTTAAAATGGCCATCTTCAAGAGTAAAAATAACAACAAATATTGGTGAGGATGTGGTTAAACAGGAACCTTTATATATTGCTGATGGAAATGCAAATTAGTACAAGCACTATGGAGGCAGTATGGAAAGCTAAAAATAGAAATGTCATATGATCCAGTGATACTGTTCCTGGGCATACATCTGAAGGAATGTTAAGACAGGATATAACAGAGACACTTTCATGCTGATGTTTACCACACCACTGTTAACAACAGCCAAGCTACGGAAACAATCTAGATGCCCTACAAATGATGAATGGATCAAGAAAATGTGATCTATGTACATGTGTATATATACACTTATATATATGCAATATATATACACATTTGCCCTACAAATGATGAATGGATCAAGAAAATGTGAGATATATATATATATAAACATATATATATATCTCATATATATGTTTTATATATATAATATAAATATATTATATATATTAATATATATATATGTTTTATATATATATACGTGTGTATATATGTATACATGCACGTGTATATATGTCATATATGTATATATACACATGTATATGTGAGATTTTATATATATATATATATACACACACACATATACCCTACAAATGATGAGTGGATCCATTCATCACACACACACATGCAATGGAGTTTTACTCAGCCATAAGAAAGAATGAAACCATCTGGTTTGAAGGTAAATGAATGCATTTGGAGGACATCCTGTTAAATGAAGTAATACAGGCTCAGAAAGACAAAGGCCACATGTTTTCTCTCATATGTGGAGTACAGATCACAAGATAAACATATACACAAAAGCAAGTGTGATTATACACAAACTTATATGTAAAACATGTTTGTAATAGTCCAACTAGTCTATGAAACTTGGGGGAGGAAGGAAATGAAAAGAGAATGGTGGCCAACAATTTCGAAATACATTACATCTGTGCAGGAAGAGGATATAACGATATGTGTTGAAAGCTGTTGAATAACGGGGGGTAGGAGGGAAGGGGTAAGGAAGAGTACAGAAGGGGTTGAACTGACAAAAGTGAAGTATATTCACAGTGGAGATACAATGAGAAATCCCTTTGGACATTGACTTTGGAATTAATAATGAAAGACTGAAATGTAAAACAGGTACAGTCTATGAAGATGTACTTGTAGGAGGTAGGAGGGTTAATGAAGGAGATGAAGGTGAGGGAATATGGTTGATGGGCTTCATATACCTATATGAACTAGAACAATGAAACCTCTTGTAATTGTTTTAAGTGGGGCAGGGAGAGGATTGTGGGGAGATGGCAGAGGTGATCTAACCAATGTATAATGTAAGCCTTCAATTTAGAACTGTCACAATGAATCCCCCCGCACAAGAAATATATCCTAATAAAAATGAAAAGAGTTACAAAAATGTTATTTAGAACTGATAATAGCATTATCAGTATACTTATAAATTATCACTTTTCAAAAATAATGTTAGTGAAGAAGGAAAGCTGGTGGTAGGAAGTAAGTGCCTCAAAAATATCAGTCAATGTTCATCTGATGCTTGTGATGGCTCTTTTCCAACTCTCTGGTTTGTAAGCAGGCCTCCAGAAAGCAAAAATTGTATGTCATTGGAGAGGACCTTCATATGGTTTGTTCCTGATGTGTCATTCTGGTAGTATGGTCATCATAGATGATCTGTCATTATGTTCAGAAGCAGCAGAACATTGTGGTCTCCATTTGTGAAGAAGAATCAGAGCCTACTCAGTTCTATTCCCGGATCTACTACTTACTTGGTTTGGTGGTTTGTGGCTTGTTAGAAATTCTCTGTGGCTAAAATGAAATGCCCACAATATGGTTTGCCTTCAGTGTTTAGGACCCAATGTGGTCAGGCTATAAATTTATAATGCTTCCTAAGTAAAATCTAGGAATAGATATAGGTAGTAAAAATGGCACATAGGATACCTTACCATTTACAAAAGCTTATTTTAGAATTATCCTCTGGAGGATACTGTATATCAGTTTTAATTTCATGACTTTTCTCTACCTAGTAGTTAACTCTGATTTGACTCCTAGAGATTAAGAAAAAGGCATTCTGAATTCATTTTGTGATATAAGCATCTTGCATCATGTAGTAAAAGAAAGCCATGTCAAGGATATTTTGTTCTAGTGTGAAGCAGCCTGGTCACTATGAAATGATAAGTAATGAAACTCTTAAAAGTTAGCCAATTCAACTCTATATAACTATGAAAAGAACCTACTATTTATGACATAAAATAGTAGATGCAAATGATTTTTTGAAAAGTAACAGAAATACTATCCATAAAATTAACATGGAAAAATTCCAGGTATTTTGCTCTTTGTAGCATCATTAAATCTGACAAAAACCTTATTACAATGATTAATAACTGTATCTATAACAATGGGAGGTAAAAGAAGAGGGTAAAGGGGAGTGAATATGGTCAAAGTACTTTATACACACAAGTGAAAAGAGAACAATGAAATCTGTTGAAATTGTTTTAAGGAGAGGGAAGGTGAAACAAAGAGGAGGGATATAAGGAGTGAATTTGATCAAGGTATACTGATGTACATATATGGAAATATCACAAACCCTGTTGCGCAACTAATATACGCTAATAAAGCTGTAAAAACCAAAAAATCAAAAACAGAAAATAAAAAGCTCCTACCCAGCAAAAGAAACAATTGCCAGAGTAAAGACAGCCTATAAGTTGAGAGAAAATCTTTGCCAGCTATCCATCTGACAAAAGATTAATATCCAGAAATATAAAACAAATTTTAAAAATTAAACACCAAAAGAACAAATAAACCAATCAGTAAATTGGCAAATGAATTCAACAGATAGATCTCAAAAGAAGAAACAAAAATAACTAATTAATACATGTCCAACATCCTTAGCTATAAAGGAAATGTAAACTGAAACTACACTGAGATTCCATTTCCCCCAGTCAGAATGGCTATTGTCAATAAAACAAACAACAACAAATGCTGGCAAGGATGAAGGGAAATGTATTAAACAGTCACTATAGAAATCAGTATGGAGGGTCCTCAAAAGACCAAAAACAGAACTATCATATGATCTGGCTATATACCTGAAGGAATCAAAGTCAGCATACAATAGAGACACCTGCATACCCATGTTAATTGCAGCACAAGTCACTTAACTGCAGCAACAGTCACAACAACCATCATGGAATCAGTCTAGTGCTCATCAACAATGAATGGATAAAGAAAATGTGGATCTATACAATGGCATATTATTCAGTCATAAAGAAAAACAAAATTCTGCCATCTGTACGAAAATGAATGGAACTGAAGATCATCATGTTAAGTGAAATAAGCCAAACTCAAAGACAAATATTCCATTTGTTCTCTCATCTGTGGAATCTAGATTTAAAACAAAAATATGAAAGCAAAAGGGGGACTATTTGGGGAGAGTGGAGGGCACACAGGAAGAAGGAAGGGGCAAGAGAGGGTGATGGAGGGGTGAATATGATAGAAATATATAGTATGCCAGTATGAAAATATCATAATGAAATTCATTACTTTGTACAGGAAATAAACATAATGACAATTCCTTGTACATTCAAAATCAATGAAAAGGATTGGAAAAATATATTCAACAGAGGCCAGATGAACAACCATAGGACATCTGCTA